TTCCTCCACCTTGTTATGTAGAACATTTTCTCCACTCTTGCTCCGACCTTCATCATGTAGCTCTCAGGGATGCTGTGGTCGTGTGCTCTTCTCCCCAAATAATCATCTCTCATATGCCTAGTTTCCAGAGGGCTGTGATGACTTTCTCTTCTTACACTTGAACTGACATTGATTTGAATTAACCTGCCTACATTACCTTTGTATGTTACTTCCACGATATAATCTTGTCTTGTGCTTTCAATGACTTACTAAACAAGAGTATACATTTAACAATAAAAATAATAACTAATGAGTGACTTTTGTATGCCAAACTCCATGATAAGAACATTGAATGCATTATTGTATAGAGATCTCTTACTTGATTTATTATTTATACATTTCTCTCTAACCTGAGACTCTGGGGACTTGGCCAAATAAATGTTAAACATCATTTAGTGTTCAAATTTTCCTCTCTTTTGACTTTTAGCTATTTTCATGACTCCCTCCATCTCAGTACTTTGAGTGGCATCTGTATCATTTATATATAGATTCCAAATAAATATTTCCAGTTCATAGCATTCTGTTTTTCTTTCAAACTCTAGGCACACGTATTCAACTGATAATTGATGTCTCTACTTGAATGTCTAATAGGTATTTTAAACATAATCTGTCCAAAACTGAACCTCTGGTCTTTGATCTCCCTCCATGACTCCTGCAACCTTACCCATCTCAGTAAGTGACAAAATTCTGCCATTTGCTCCACTCAAAAACTTTGGTGTCCTCTCAGATTCCACGTTTCTTCAGTTAGGTAATCCTGTTGGCTTTCTTTTCAGAGGCTAGCCACTTCTCACCATTTTCACTGCTACAACCTTAGCCCAAGCCATCATCATCTCTAGCTGGGATTATTGCAATAGTCTCCTCTCCTGGACCATATCCCTTATTATGCCCTTGCCTCCCCTCAGAATACTTTCAACAAAAGAGTGAGAATGAGCCGCTATATCAGATCATTTTACTTCTCTACTCAAAACCACACAATGCCTTTCTAGTTTTCTCTGTTAACATACTGGCCCTTTAGCTGTCATTCAAGGAATGCTTCTACATCAGGGCTCTTACACTTACTGTTTCTTCTTATTGGAATTCTCCTCACTGGCTATTGGTGGAGCCCACTCCCTCTTCTCTCTCAGGCCTCACTCACATGCCATCTTTTCATTACAGACTTCCATAACCATCCCAACTAAAACTGCAACTACTTTTCCTCAATCTACTCTCTTTCTCCCCTTCTTCACTATATTTTCTTCCACAAAATTTTTTTTTAATTTTATTTATTTTTCTTCCCCCAAAGCCCCAGTAGATGGTTGTATGTCATAGTTGCACATCTTCCTAGCTGCTGTACGTGGGACGCGGCCTCAGCATGGCCAAAGAAGCGGTGCATTAGGGGGCGCCTGGGATCCGAACCCGGGCCGCCAGCAGCAGAGCGTGCGCACTCAACCGCTAAGCCATGGGGCCGGACCCATTCCACAAAATTTATCATCATCAAATGCCTAATATATTTGGATTGCTTATCTTAAAGATTGCACCCCTACTAGTACATAAGCTCCAGGATGGTAGGAATGTTGTCAACTTCTCCCTTGCTCTACATTTGCAGCTATTTGTTGAGTAAATGAATGAATTATGCATTAATCCTGGATGAAGACTGAGTACCCTAATAATCTTTCTTCCCAGGGTGAATTCCCAAACTGAGGTTCTTAACCAATCAAGATATTGTTTGGAGGCTTAACAAGGGATTTCTGCATCTTTATAGTTGGCACTAGAGGATGACCATCCTCCCCAGTATAGCCAACCAATTTTTTTCACTTTTTTTCCTGGTCCCTTATACATGCAGAATCCCTATCCCTCGCCCATCACATGCTTGCACAGACATGCATGTGCACACACATCACACATGCAGGGGCACATATATACATGGACACATATACACACTTGTGATATACAATCTAAGAACTCATCACACATGCCAGGACATTTGAGCATTTTCATTGAATGCAAGATTTAAGTTGTAGCCTGGAGTGCCTGAAACAACTCCAGATTTTGTTTCTTTTTCCTCTCCTTTTTTGTGCATGTCACTTTCTTACTGGATCTAGTAGGAAAGCCCACTTGATAATTAATTAATGCTGCTCCAGATACTGAATCAATCGTGGAAGTGACACGGCATATATCAGTTGGCTTTGTTAAAATCCCTGAACTTAATTCATACTCTCCAGGTTCTGGATCCATTGACATGGGGAAGAAACATTATAAATCTTTATATACATAATGCCATTTTTACAGATTGTCAAATGAGTGGTAACATAAAAACCACATCGTTTTATATCAGAATAAATGTTTCCTCTAATTAAAGCTTTGGGGGAAACTCCTTCAGATCTAATAGAGGCCTGCATTGCTTGGGTTTGAAAAAGTCCATCAGCAGTGAAAAAATAATAATTTTTTGTAAAATCCATTTAACCCCATGAGCTCATTAATCATTTCACATAGTGATTATTTTAACTAAATACTGCTATTGTGTTTGCATATGCTATTAGATGTCACTAAAATTTAAGAAATGGATATTTCTTCAAATGTTTCTCTCATTTATTAAGTTCAATATCAATACTGCATATCTATGAATGTCTGTATAGAAAATAACACATATTTCAAAACTATCTCAAGAAGATTTAATGAATTTGCTATGAAATTAGGCAAAGACGTGCTCTGCTTCTCTCCCTGGTGTTAGAAGCAGAAGCTAATTCCCAGAGACCTTAAAATAAAAACATGGGCTAGAAATAGTTTAGTGCAGAACTTCATGTCCTTAAAAGAAAATTGAGTGGCTAATAGGAATAGGGTAAATATGAAGATAATAAAAAATTTAAGAAAATAAAATTCTTATCCTTCTACAAATATTTTTGGCAAGGTGTCACAGAAAGGAAAGAAAACTGAGAAGGCAAATCTGTGTATGTTCACATAGAGAAAGTCAACAACGGTAAAAAAATAATACAAGTTTAATGCAAGCAATTAAACTAAATGAAATACTATCTCTGTGTATTCAAGACACAGGGCGGTGAATAGCTACAAAGTTAAAAGATAATCGCATTCAGGAGGAATCAGCAGTCCTCAAACAATATTTGATGCAGTGTTATGGGAAGACACTCTACCATGGCTTTCATTATTTCTCCAAATACTTCATTTTTAAGAATTCTAAAACTAAGGAATTGTGAGTATACTCAGTGTAATTTCACTGATTATCACTGAACATGTTCCTAAGATCCTGCTTTTTTTTTTATTGTTAACAAATGTTTAGAAACTCATCCCCACTTTGTGCCCATCGTTTGGACCACCAGAAAATATCTACTCTGCCGTTTTGCAATGTGAATATTTTTATACTGTTTATAAACAAGAATTTTATCCCAAATTCTTCAAACTTTAATACAATTGTTCATGTAAAGAACTCCATTAGGCCAGTTTAATTCTTTGTTCCAGTTTCCAAAGAGAACAGTGGAACCATATAGTAGACACTGAACTGCTTGCTCCAAATCATTCAAAGTCCCTTTCTCCTCTACATTCCCCAACCATCTGGGTAGGAAAACTGCAATATTCACTTATCCATGTGGTCTTGCAGCTAGGAGTGGCCATGTGATCCAGTTCTGGCCGATAAAATATAAGAGGAAGATGCACAGAGAGAAGTTTCAGAAGAACTCTTTTCATGGCATAGATTTAGCTAGAATGTCATTTTGGTTTATGTCCTTTGTGCCTTGTGCCTTCTCTCTCTTTTTTCTGCCTTGCGGTTGAATAGGATTACTGGAAAAGCAGCAGCTATATTATCACCCTGAAAAAAAAATATATGACTATCGGTCATCTTGGAGCAGAAAGATAACAGGAGCCTGGACCTTTCAGTGCTGCTATACAAACCTCAACTTAGTTTAAATTTAGACTGTTGTCGCATAAAACAAATAAGCATCCTAATCAGTTAAGCTGATTTTAGTTGTTTGCTACGGAACCAATTTCCAATTGAGAGCTTACAACTTTTCCCATTTTCATTTGAACTTTATAAAATTATATTCTTCTGGATAAATTCTTTTCCGAATATATTTTTCAATAAAACATTTATCAGTTTATTTAATGATGTCTGATTTTACCAAATATAACTTCCTCCATCTTTAGTTTGCTTTTATGAACATTTTTCTTCATAGTTTGATATTCCCAGGTCAAAATTTGAGCTGCGTGCAATTTTAAGCATAATCTGTTTTATTTTTCCCTCATTTTGATCAAGTCTAAATTTTCACTGTTTCATTATAATAGTTTTGTTTGTTGTTTTTTTAAGGAAGATTCGCCCGGACCTAACATCCTTTGGCAATCTTTCTCTTTGTTTTTTGCTTGAGGAAGATTAGCCCTGAGCTAACCATCTGTGCCAATATTTCTCTATGTTGTACATGGGACCCCTCCACAGCATGGTTGTTGAGAGGAGTAGGTCCATGCCTGAGATCCGAACCCACAAACCCTGGCTGCTGAAGCAGAGCGCATGAAACTTTAACTGCTCGGCTATGGGGCTGGCTCCCATTATAATAGTTTTTATCTTTGACAGTAAAGATAAGTTTCATCAGTTATATTGTTTGCAGTGTTAACCATTGTTGTTTTATATCAGATTGGTTATTTTAAATATTGATATTTTTTATGGTCTCAACAAACGTGTTAAATAATACTCATAATGCATTTTCAGAATTCAGTTGCAATCCAACTATAAAAACCAGATGTAATTATTTTCTTTTATCCTTTATTTAATCAGTTGCTAATAATTTTATGCGCAGTAACTACTACATGGACAATAAAAACAAAGAATACATCTCATTTTACAAATGAATGTACTTCTTAAATAGAACACTGCAGAACAATCAATTCTTTTACAGTTTGTTCTATAAAAATGAAAATAATAACTTTAGTCATAAGAGAGAAAGTAAACAAAGCAGGAAGTACTTTATTACAATGAATACAAAGAAAATTATAATACAACAGAAAATGGAACACAAGCAGATATATCTCGTTAAAAAGGCTTTTGTAAAATAAGTTTTCTTAATTTCAAGATTCTATTATCATAAACTGGAAAAATTAGCATATATTATCTTTTTCATGTTTTTGTAAAAATAATGTAAATGTTTAATCATGACTTCTGCTTTCGGAAGATTACACACTATAAGAATGCACTGAGCACAACTACATGAAACAACATGCATGAATCTTACATGTAAAATATTGAGCAAAAAAGGCAGACACAATTGAGCACATCCATCAGGATCCAATTTTTATGAAGTTCGATAAGAGACAAAACTCGTCTATTGCTATAGAAATCAAAAAAGCAGTTACCACTGGTGGAAGGTATTGAATGGGAAAGAGCATTAGGAAGTCATTGGGGTGCTGAAAGTGGTTTGCATCTGCATCAGGATTTTTGACACATTTGTGAACATATGAAAAACTCACCAAACTCTCCTATGATTACTGCACTTTACATTCTTTATTGAGTGCAAGCTATACCTCTATGTAAAAAACAGAAGCAAGGGCCAGCCCCAGTGGCCTAGTAGTTAAGTTTGGTGTGCTCCTCTTTGGTGGCCTGAGTTTGGTTCCCCGGCATGGACTCACACCACTCAGCTGTCAGTGGCCATGCTGTGGCAGCAACTCACATGCAAAGAGAGGAAGAATGGCAACAGATGTTAGCTCAGGGCGAATCTTCCCCAGCAAAAAAAAAGACAAAAACAAAAAAACAAAGAAATGTTGGCACAGCATTTAAAAAAATCTTTTGCTCATATCCCTGTACTTCTATGTAGAATTTTATTTAAGTTTAAACTTGCAATTTTATTTCAAAATTAAGGGTTTCTCATATTCATGCCAGTGTCTAAACAATCTCTAATGATTCACATGGAAAATTAAAGTGGTTGATATTGTGTAGCTGATCTAGATTAGGAGATAAAACTGTCTTTCAGAATTTTTATTTTATGTTCTATAATCCTCATGCTTTTATAATGTTAAAAATGAGACTTTGAGCATCAAGAAGAAGTCACTTGTTTAAAGGAGTCTAGAGTTATGAAAAGTCAATTCAAGATGCATATATAATCAATGGTGTATGGTTCTTTTAAAAGTCACATCAGAGCAAATTGCAGGAGAGAGAACAGAGATAAAGGACAGATTGCAGACATTTCAACAAATAAGGAAAGAAGCCTCCAGTGGAGAGAAAATAGGAAATTAGTTAAAACATGTGGAGCAACGATCTTAAAAATGGACCAGACAAACCCATGCTTAGGTGAAAGAAATGTTAAATGTATACATTTAGTGAATAGAATTTAACAGTTAATAATGATCTATTTAATCACGTTTTTCTTTCTATTAATCCTCACTTAATTGTGATATTGTATGTTTTGAAAGTAAGAATCAGAAGTATAGTTGTTTCTGTTCTCTTCAAAACAAACATTTCTTTAAAAACAAAAGTAAAAAACAATATTTTTTTAATTCTCTTTACCTCTAGATGGCACCTGTGAACTGACAGAATATGGACTGAGTGGGTTCCTCCAGATGCCCAACATTCAGTATGAAGGCTATCTACTCACTTCACCATCTTCCTCTCCAAGACCAGAGCTCAAAGCTCAACACAATAGAACAGAAGGGCAACAGGGTTCTAGTAAGAAGACCCAGAATAATACCCATATCTCATTGTTACTATGTGAATTTGGCCAAACCATTCAATCTCTCTGAGCCTCATTGATTTAAAATCTGTTAAACGGAGAGAATGGTCGGGGGTTGGGTAGACTACATATGGTAATGATCTTAGTACTTTCCAAGTTTTAGATTACTACCTAAACGCAAAATATTACCAGAGGGAGACAGGATCATTGGAAGTAAAATATGGATTGGTTTTAAGATCAGTGGATATGGGGGATAAATAATATACATGAGAATTTGGGGGACCAATATCAAATAAAGCACTAAATAAAAAATAAATAAAAATTAGTTTGTGGTATCATCCATGCTTCTCCCAGGGCTCTATACCCAGAATAATATCAACATCTATGCAACCCACATCATCAGCACTGTTTACTAAAATAATAAATACTAAAAAATAAATACTAAAATAATAGATATGGAGAGTTCAACAACATTTTGTAATTGTGCTATGATTTCAATCTTTTTTTCATGGAAACAATGAATTATAAATGTACAGAATATTGTTTAAAAATTCTTCACAAAATAATCAGTATTTCTACCAATCTAGTGAAATGAAAGAAATCTACAAACTTTGTCCAATATCATACATTGTTAAAAGATACTGACATCTCTTTGGTATGTAATTTGGATGAATTTTAATGATTTCTACATGGGTGAAATACAATTGAAAACTTGTGCAATAAAAGTGTCATTCTGTTCAATTTGAGTGTTTTATTTTTATATATCTATTCTAATATGTTTTAATTATACCTTTTAAAAATATCAATGGATGCTATTTACTTTTGCCAATTCCTCCCTGTTTACTAAGTAAATTATTTAGACAGAGACAGAAATTAGGGTTGCTTGAGAGAAATTACTTCTAACAAATCTGTATCCACTGCTACTTAAGACTTGGTGCTCCAAGTGCCCCCAAATTGGTATTTTATTAAAATAAATTTTTCCAAAAAATGAAAATTGACCAACTGGTTTATAATTATCAGTTACTGTTTCATTGATTTATGAAAAGAGATTCCGCCAGATTTTCTTTCTTTAGCATCAAGATACCATTCATTGATCTACCATTGGTGTTTAAACACCATGAGTATCTTTGAGATTTCATCATTTCCTTTCTTAAATAGTCTGGGAAGTATTTGGCTAGAAACTTCTAAAACAAAAACTCCTGCATTGACTAAAATATTTTTATTCTAGTTGACATTTATTTTACTTATGATTTCCTGTCCATCATATTTTACTTCTCAGGTTAAAAAAACGTGAACGTTCATACTATGTATGCAGAGCAAAAAACAAAGTCCAACTATCTAGGGAAAACTTTGTCAATTGGTCTAAATATCAATTCATAGATTAATTCTATCCACAATAAAATACCCATTCTGTAACAATATTATTATTATACATACTTTTTTATTTGTTTTAATGTATTTACTTGGCAAAATAAAATGTAGGTAACCACCTGTGTCATTACCCTCCAATATTTCTGTTGATTATTTTCCTGTCCCTTTAAAAGTTTTGCAAATGCTAACTTGAATTTTAGTTTGTATTTAGGCCAACATATTAACTTCTCCACTGATATGTGCAAGGGAAACCATAGTTCTAATGGTGGAAGTAAAGGCTCTGATGCACTTCAAGGTGCATCAAAGATTCACTGAACAGGGAAGACAGTTTTAGGGAGACCAATAGTCTTTTCTGGTCTTTTTGCAATCACCCAACACCCACAGTGTATGTTCACCTGTAAAGCTGATCTCCTGCTACACCTTCAGTAAGGGCCCTTCAGGAAACTGGACCTTCTGATGGTTCCCTACATACACCACTAGTTCTTATGTCTTGGTTCATGCTATTTATCTCCATTTAGCATGGTCAATCTCTTTTTTCTAATCTACTGTAGGTAAAAGAATGCTGAATATCTTCTCTCCGTGCCTTAACCTCAGTTCATAGAGAGAGGACATTCATGCCTTCTAAGAGTTTAGAAAAATTTGGGGGTGATATTTTTCTAGTGTGTTGGATTATCAACCTTTAAATGTCAACAACCAGGAAAAATACCTTTTATTTTGCTTTCTATGCCTTTCGCTTTCTACTTTCTATGTAAGTAGGCAAACGAGGTAGACCCTATCTCCACAGGGCACAGGAATCACAGCCTCTCCCTATATATTACACTACTTCTGTGCCTGCAACTAGGGCATTAATCTGTTACAATCAAGTGTGAAACCGAGAAATTTAACAATATGCTGTAAGCAGAATGACTGACTTAGACTTGATTCCAAATTTCTAATACAGTCTTCACCAGATATATTCATTGTGAGTTACCTGGAACTTGCCCAGACATCTTATTTCCCACTTGGCTACTGTTTCTCTTCTGAATAGTTTGCCTTGGGGGGAACCCCTGCATGAGGATGAGTGAAGAAAGAATGGGATTTAGGCATTCTCGGGTGACTAGTAAAATATCAAGAAACAACCTCCAAAAAGTTCGTCCAATGTCTTAATCCATTCAGGCTGCCATAACAAAATGCTAGAGACTGGGTGGTTTATAAACAGCAGAAATTTATTTCTCACAGTTCTGGAGGCTGGGAAGGTCAAGATCAAGGTGCAGGCAAATTCATTGTCTGTTGAAGGTCCGCTTCCTCGATGGCCACCTTTTTGCTATGCGTTCACATGGCAGAAGGGGCAGGAGAGCTCTTTCAGCCCTCTTTTACAAGGGCACTAATTCCACTCGTGAGGGTTCTGCCTTCATGACCTAATCACCTCCCAAAGGCCCCATCTCCTAATACCATCACACTGGGCGTTAGGTTTTCAATATACGAATTTGAGGGGGACACAAACATTCAGACCACAGCATCTGGTATTCCCTAAAACATATTTTCAATTACATATCACACTTTACTCTTTTTATCGTATAGTGATGGCAGCAGAATCAATATTTATTCGTAATCCTGAAAGTGTCCACACTAAATATATTTAAAATAAAGTCTAAAGGATACAATTTATATTATCTACAAGGATGTTTACGATGTCAGCGTCTACACAGTTTATGTTCCTCTTCACTTCCTCATTAACATTTATACACGTAGATTTTAAAACCATCCCTTTGTTCTCCTATCCTCTTATCACCTTTCTTTTGCTTCTATCAATTTGCAACACTTTTTCTTCTTCTTCTTTATTAATTTTGTCTCTTTGAGTACTGGCCTTTCTGAATTCGTCTCTGAAATCCAACCTAAGCCTTTACTATTAAAATACTTATTTTCTTGCTTTTCTCCTTTTTCTCCCAATTGTGGGCATTTTCTTCTTTGCCTTCTTCAAA